ACATATATATATATGCTAGTCAAAACAGAAGAATGTCAGTAACACTAATGCAAGGGATATGTCAGCTCTTATACAGTGATTATGAAAGAGTTTGCTACTACTATTTGTCGACAATCAGGATTAGCATTGATTACGATTCGGTAACCTGGATAGGAAATGTATCTAATAAAATAGATACCAAGGAGAATTTGACAGATAAAGTAACACACCACATGTACACTGGTATTCTATAGTAAGGTTGACATATATGGTTGTCAGTACTATATATATATACCGTAGTATACGTCGGAACTACTATATAGGCCTTTGGGTTGCAACATAATAAAACATTCATTTAGTATACAAATAATATTGCATTACACTAGGAAGGGGGGGGGGGGTACATTCTTATGGGTTGTGGCCATGGTTTATCATAGAAATGATCGAGATCTATGGATTGTTATTTGCATCAAGGATGTAGACTTAGCATAAGTTTAGATTTATTAATTTTAGCAAGATTGGTTTGATAAACTTCTCATAAACATGTAATATACACACTCATCATGCAATGGGCATGGACATAAATGTCATGCATGTTTGGATATATGAGAAAGAAAAAAATGGATACAGACTAGAAATTACAACTCATGCATACCTTTTAGAAAAATCAAGGTACATGTACGTCTGTACACAAAATATATTTGTTTTTCATATAAATAAATATATATACATGACACACATGGAGGGGAGGTTGATGGTATGTCTCTGGTTGTGTGTATATCAACATAAGATAATGTAGTACAATAAAAAAGCTGATAGCAAAAGTACTCATTTCTCCCTAGTATCTTCTAGCTCGAGTGAATATCAATTAATATATGTATAAATTGGGAGATAATGGAATAATATAGTTATAGACTACTTATGAAACACTATAAACGACATGATGAGAATATATGGTAAACACATGGTAAACACTTTATTCCTTTGGCAGAGGGGTGAACAGGTTGGAAACAGCTGTACTGGCGGTGGACTGGTTTCTGAATTTGGTGTAAGTACGTCTAGGAGTGAGGAATTCAGCAGATGAGGGTTTGGAGCCAGTTCGATTTTGGCGGATAGGTGGATCAGGGTATGAGGATAATTCGGACAGGGTAGTGACAGTAGCCTTTTCTCCGGTGTTGCTACGAATTATAATCCTGCCGTCTGTGGTCCAGGTGCTGCTGATGAGTTTCCTGCTCTTGAGAAACCGTGCCTTGGCGTAAACCTTGGCACGCTGGCTGGTGAGGGCCTCATTTAGAAAAAGTTTCGGTAGAGCTGGGTGAGCGAGAGATTTGGGCGAGGTGGTAGATGGGTTCACGACCGAGGAGGGCTGGGTTTCAGCTGGAGGCTGGTCATCTGCGACAGGTTTCTTGAAGAGACAGAACCTAGCTTCGTATATCTGGGCTCTGATTCTGTAGGAGAGGAACCGGACGATAATATCGCGGGGGTGTAGTGACGATCTGGGGCCGACCCGATGCGACCTACTTATGTCGTTTAGATCGATATGGACTCCAAGTTGTTCGATACATGAATTAATAACAAGCGAATCGGTGTCCTCGTGGTTGGACTCAGGGATGCCCCGGAACTTGAGACAGTTACGGCGGGAGTACTGTTCCATGTCGTCTAGCCGAGACTCAAGCTCGGCTATCTGGCGATGGAGCTGGGGTATCCCTAGGCTGGATAGTAATGACTCCTTGAATAGGCTGTTATTCATGAGTTTTCCAATGACTTCGCTTATAACTTCGGGGTCTTTGATTTCATTGATATTGGCAACACTAGCGAGAATATCAGAGTTCATTGTGGATATTGTAGAATGATACGTTAATAGAGGGGTAAAGTAACAAAATGTTCAGCGAGTCGGAATGAGAGATAAAGATGGCGTCGGGTGACCGCTGGTCAGGTCATGGAGCGTCAATGTTAATTAATTATAAAACAATGTTTGGCAAGTGGAAAGGCATTAAATACCTGCAGTTTGTCTAGAAACACTGTCCATAATAAACGTGTACAGTCCAAGCTCCGTAATATAGATGGAGGAATCACAAAATCATTATTTCTTACTGGACATTTTGGTGACGTCCGTCCATTTCAACCAACCGGAAGTCCTTTCATAGTCATACTGCATGTTGATGCTAGTGGTATTGGTTTGGGTGGAGTACTCTACCAGAATCACGAGGGTAAGGAAAAGTTCATCGCGTATGCGAGTCGAGGTTTCAGACCAAGTGAGCGCAACTACCCAGCGCATAAGCTTGAATTTCTAGCGCTGAAATGGGTGGTTACCGACAAGTATCATGATTACCTCTATGGTAATAAGTTTGAGGTTGTCACAGACAATAACCCCCTCATATATATTTGCTAGCTAAAGCTAAGCTGGATGCCACCAGCCATAGGTGGGTTGCTGCTCTAGCAAATTACAATTTCACATTGACATACCGAGCTGAGAAAAACAATGCGGATGAAGATGGTCTCTCCCGTATATCTTTCTGTAATTCTGATGTTGTCAAGGCAGTATGCCAGTCTGCAACTATTGTAGCTCCACTGATTGATAGTGTTACGGATCATAATGAATGTGTTTGACATGTGGCCAGTGAGAGTGTACATTCAGATGATTGTTTGAGCACAATAGATTGGCAAAAACAGCAAAAGGAGAATAAAGAGATTGCCGAGTTATAGACCTCAAGAGAACCGGTTTTCACCCCAGGGGGAATAACCGAAAGGATGAGTCCCCATATGTACAAAAACATTTGAGGACAAGGAACAGGTTCAGTCTACATGATGGGGTACTATACAGAACATCTTCTCTGGATGGTCATGAAGTAAAACAACTGGTGCTACCAAAGCAGTATCATGCCTTAGCCCTGAAAGGGGTCCATGACGATGTAGGTCATCAAGGCAAGGAAAACACTCTTTGGTTGGCTAGACAGAGGTGCTTCTGGCAAGGTATGGAGAAAGATGTAGACAACAGAGTTGAGAACTGTGGACGTTGCATAAGACGTAAAACGCCGGTGAGGCCACAAGCTGAACTGGTACCAATCCATTCCACTAGACCCATGGAGTTAGTCTGTATCGACTTTCTCAGCTTGGAGCCCTCCAAAGGTGGTTATGAGAATATTCTGGTGATTACTGATAATTTTACCAGGTACGCTCAGGCGGTGCCCTGTCGAAATCAGACGGCACACACAACTGCTAAGGCATTATATGAGCACTTCATTGCCTTTTACAGTTTCCCTGATAGTGATCAGGGTCGTAACTTTGAAAGCAAAGTCATAAAGGAGCTCTGTAAGATAGCAAGAGTTAAAAAGACCAGAACCACACCCTACCATCCCGTGGGGAATGGGTCGGCGGAACGCTTCAACCGCACACTCCTTGATATGCTTGCAACCCTAGAGGAGGATCATAAAGTGGATTGGAAGTCATATGTAGCGCCATTAGTCCAGCCTCAAAGAGTGATGTCACCGGATTTTCACCACATTTTTGAATGTTTGATTGGCATCCTCGCCTGTCTGTTAAGGCTTTCCTCGGAACATACCCCTGTGAACAAGGGGCGGCAGACCATACCTCGTACGTCAGTAAGCTAAGGGAAAGGATGAAATATGCCTACAAGGTTGCTGGTACTGAGGCCGCTCAATTTTCTGCTCGCAATAAGAATCGCTATGACAGGTCAGTCCGTGAGACAAACTAGAAATAGGGGACCGTGTCCTAATAAGGAAGATCGGCCTGAAGGGGAAAAACAAGTTGGCGGATAGGTGGGAACAGGAACCCTTTCTGGTTATTAATATACCTAATAGTGATAGTCCTGTATATGAAGTGCAACAGGAAACGGGAAAGGGACGTAAACGGATCTTACACCGGAATATGTTGATATACTTTAATTTTATACCCCTGATACATGCTTTGAAAACCATTATTTTAGAGGTGAATGTCAAATTGAGGTCACATTGACTTTGTTATAGGATGCAACATACCACCTTCTCATGATGTACCTATATATTAAGTTCGATGCCCATCAACGGAACAGCAACTAAGATATACTCTGGAATCCATTATTTCAGTAATCGAGGTAAAGGTCAAATTAAGGTCTCAGTGATCTTGTTTGAGGATGTGAGGCACCGCCCTCCCATGTTCTTCCCATAAAAGAATTTGATGCAAATTCATGTAAGAGCAGATGAGATACTGTATCGCTGTACAGCCAAATTGAATGGCCAATATTTCTTTCTCCATTGTGATGCGTTCTTCATATACGGTACCTGTATCTGACCAGCATTCGAACCCTGTACCGCTGATCACAATAAGTCGCTATAACCAAATAAGCTACATGCATGATGCATGCATGCCAGCTCTCTCTATTTTGCACCCTAACATTGAGCGTTTTAAACCAGTGATTTTTTTTTCTAAGATCTGATGATTTCATCTGCAGCAACAGCTTAAAAGATGCCATTTAAAACTATTATTTTCCATAGAGAATACATTATATTTACAGTGTATGATGAAGGTAGTGACCTGGCCAACTAAAGTTATAGTTCATTGTTAAAACAAAATCAAGGGGAGGTTACTCATACTGTATGTAAAAATAACAAATCATGATTTGTTTATTTTCAGCATAAAAATCCACTTAAGATACTATACCTCCTATCAAAGTTATTTCACTCGCAACTGCATTAGACACGTTTACACTTTACAATATTTACAGAAATGTGTACATGCGACCAACCGGTAAGAGTCAGGTACTTGATTTAAAACCAAAACGCGTGAAGAATGTTATAATGTACCAAATATGAAAAAGTTTGCTTGATACAGTTTCTCTGTCATAGGTAATATTAGCATTCAATTAATCTTTACGATATATAGGGTACCGTTTTATGTAAGAGCTGTGAAATAACACAAAAATGAAACAAAGGCACAAAAAACAGTAAAATGAACATCATGCATCTACTAAATGATTAAATTTTATTCCAACCTGTTCTTGCTGTACAATTCATCACATTTTATATTCCACCGAGAACTATTTCACAGATATATAAAGTTTTTATCTGCACCTTCCACAGAAATACATTTCATATTCTCACATTGCACAGAAAAACATTCTTCATCTACACTCTCCTCAGAAATACAATATTTATTTACAAACTCCACAGCCTATATTCCTAATCTACACACTCCATAGAAACATATTTTGAAATGACATACTCCATAGAAACATCAATAGTGTATGCATACATTGAACAGATTTACTATTTATACACTTCACAGAAACTATGCTATGCCACAAACTATCTAAAGACACAAGGATGTAAAAGTGCATCATGTTTTCCAAAGAAATCTTGTGTCGTTCAATAATAGAAAGAGTGCGTCATTGAACGGCTTATAAAATTGTTCCAATATATGTCTGGTCTCGTTGAGCATCTGCCCTACTGCTCGGGTTGACGGTCTTCTTTCATTGTGATGTTTTGCTGTAGTTGCAACGTTACCAATATCACCTAAATGTGCAACAGAAATGGTCAATTATCACCTGTACAACATCAGTAATACATTGATTTATTTCAATATTAACTACTGTAGGTAGGGGAAATGCAATTCAAACGTCTGTAGTTAGACATATTCATCACTTAGACAAACTCTACGGATATTACAATAGGGCAATGCCTTGAATCCACTGCTTACTAAATAGCTCTATGTTATTGCATACATATTTTCGTCCCTTAAACAGGATTATACAACAGATTGATGATGAGACCATTGATTGCAACATCAGTTACTTACGTAAATCAAGGAACTTATGTATTTTCAACATGGTCATTGACGGGTTCGTCGAGTATTCGTCTAATGAGAGGACGAGAAGTTGTTTCCGGGGAAAAATGTCCATCCAGTCTTTTAGGTACACAGCGTATAAGCCAAGACACAAGCTAGTCGGAGTAGTGCATTCCTTAACACAAAGAGTTATTGGAACATTAACCTTTTCTACATACTTTATAAGCTGAGAATATCCCTGGTATCCTTACACCAAACAAAGGTTTATCATCGCATTCAACAACAAAAAAACAACAAATACAGCATAATTATCTCATTAGGCCTGATAAACCTCCAATAGCCCTTAAAACCACAAAACAAACTTTACCAGTCTTAAAAACCTGACGACAAATCAGAAACAAATGTGATATTAACCTCTACAACACACAGTCGATAGTTCTGAAAGCTTACCGATGAACAACAAACAGTTTCGATTACCCTATAGAGGATCAAGAATAGTGTCGATTGACTGAAAACATAAAGAGAAATGTCTCGACAACCTTACAAAAGACCGTCAATATTCCTGATAACTTGATGAGTTCCGATTACCTGATTACAAACTGGGAAAGGTTAATGTTATATTACAGCAACCACTAAGCAACAAGGCAAAGTATTGCAAGGCAATCCATAGTCCCCCATCGGTAATAATTTTCTATATTAATCGAACAGTACACTTATGTCAGGGCGTATAGGTCAGGGTGAAGTCATAGTGACCTTATTCTTGCACTCCGCCATCCCAAGATGTCCTTGTACACCAAATCTAGTAACTCCAGCTGAAATAGTATAAAAGATGTGCCCCCAAAGAACATTTTCAAAATTAAAGGTCAAAAGTCAAGTCATAGTTCACAGTGACCTAAATATTGCACTCTGCCATCAAAAGATGTCCTTGTACGGCAAATCTGGTTACTCCATGTAGAAGCAGAAGATATTCCCCGGACAAACTCTTCAAAAGTATAGGTCAAAGGTCTAGTCATAGGTCACAGTTACCTACATGTAATTCTTGTAAACTCTGCACTCCGTCACCGCAAGATATCATTGCACACCAAAACTTGTTACTCCGGGCGAACGAGTATAGGAGATATGCCCCTGACAAACATTTTCAAAAGTGAAGGTCAAGTTATAGGTCACAGTGACCTAATTATTGCATTTACCACTCCGCCACCTCAATATATCCTTGTATTCCAAATATGGTTACTCCATGTAAAAGAGTATAGAAGATATGCACAGGACATTTTTTTTTCAAAAGTTAAGGTCAAAAGGTCAAATCAAAACTCACAGTGAGGTCATAGTGACTGTTTTCTTGCACTTTGCCATTTTACTATGTCATTGTACACCAAATCTGGTTACTCCAGGTGAAATAGTATAGAGGTTAGTCCCGGACAAATTTCTCGGACGGAAAGACGGACAGAAGGACGAACGGACGGAATGCAAACCTATAGTCCCCCTGGAACCGGTGAGGGACTAATTAACTACGTTAACTCAGCAGTAGACAGATAATATTCCGGATAACCGTATAACAAACATATATTAATCTATTTTAATCTGACAGCAAAAGCGAATTGTTAGAATGGTTTACAGAATAAACTTCACACAGCAGATAAATAGTCAATATTGCATTTTATCAAACAAAGTCAATATAACGTAAAATAAAAAATAAAACAATATTGCATTTAATCAAACAAAGTCAATATAACGTAAAATAAAAAATAAAACAATATTGCCTTTAATCAAACATAGTCAATGTAACGTAAAATAAAAAATAACACACTATTGCATTTAATCAAACATAGTCGATATAAGGTAAAATAAAAAATAAAACAATATTGCATACAATCAAACATAGTCAATATAACGTAAAATAAAAAAAAAAACAATATTGCATTTAATCAAACATAGTCAATATAACGTAAAATTAAAAAAATACAATATAGCTTTGAATCAAATATAGTGAATATAGATATTTCTATAGGTTGACTAACCTTGTAAGCACAGTGTCGTAGGCTTTCCTTTGCTAAGCACGTGTTGAATTTGTTCACTGAAGTGGTCACTATGCTATGGAACAATTTAACAGACTTTTTTGCTTTTTTCCCGAAATATAGAAAAGCAGAAAACAACCTGGAAGAAAAAACATGAAAATATGTTTTCAGCACATATCGTTTAAAACAGAAAATGTTCGTCCTTTCTCTTTTTCACGTTCGAGCGATTAGATCGGGATATATTTTGAAGGGTTGTGGGTTGAGTTACGTCCTTGTAGCAGTTTACTTGAGATGGATAGAGGTGCTTAGGAACTCCTGTCACCCGGTAAAAAAGAACAGAGAAGTTTCATGTTTGACCTAATTTTTGTTTGCATAGTTTTAGTTTGAACCAAATTTTATTTCATTTTTTTTCAGGTCATACATAATATACATAAGTACAGGATTCAGAAAAAAAGTGTTTAAATGCTAATATGAATCTCTCTCCTTAAATACTGACAGGCGGATGACAACACTATAAAGCTAACTAGAACTGTAAGCCAAAGGCTAACTAATACCTCCGCTCCTATATAAACCAGAACTGTACGCTAAAGGCTTACTTATGCAAATCAATATAGTCTCCCCCCAGTAATGAGTTATGGTAATCACTATTTAATTAAAAAAAAAAAAAAATAGAATAACAAAAAAATAAACAAATATTTCGCACAAAGGGGCATAACTCCATCAAAAAGGGTCGAAATCCCAAATTAAAATGCCAGTGCACAACAACATAAGATACCGATCATTCCTGCAAGGTCTCAATGCAATCCACCTGTTAGTGAAGGAGGAGTTACATGGACAAGTATTTTGCACAAAGGGGCATAGCTACGTCAAAAAGGGTTGAAATCCTAAATTAAAATGCCGGTGCACAACTACATAGGATACCAATCATTCATGCAAAGTTCCAATGAAATCCACCTGTTCGTTAAGGAGAAGTTACGTGGACAAGTATTTCGCAAAAAGGGGCATAAATCCATCAAAAAAAGTCGAAATCCCAAATTAAAATGCCGGAGAGAGAGAGAGAGAGAGGGGGGGGGAGAGAGAGAGAGAGGGGAGGAAATGTCTTTAATCGTGACTTAGTGGTACTGAACTGTACTTGCTACATACAATTGCATACTTAGAGGATAGCACGTTGTTTTGAGTGGCTATACTGGCAATTAGAACATGAAATTTGGGTTTGAACTCGAGACCGATAGGTCGAGAGTTTAAACCACATTTCATGTTTTAATCGCCAGTATAGACACGAAAAACAACGTACTATCCTCATTCTAACACACCTTAACAAATATACTACGCTAATATGTTTAGAAACATTGTATTTCCTTGTACAAAAGTACGTAGTAAAATACTTTGTGACCTGAACTGGCGACGTGTCATTCTGCAGCGGACTGACCAATCGGAAAGAAGCTTTCAAAACATTTGGCCCCGCCCATACTGGCGAGCGCTCGGTCATGTTGACGAGGCGAAATATTTGGATTGTTCGTGAACGTCCTGTTACCAAAGTTCATACGACACATTTGGATTAATATTAACCAAGTTCTTACATTTCCATGTCAGTATGCATACCAATCTGTGCTTATCGACAAAATCGGTGATTATTTGTGTAGATATGTGAAGAGTTTTGTGTAAATGCATACGACACATGTGAAATATTTCATTTGATTTCGGATCTAAATAGATGCCTTCACACGGATGGAACGAATGTTTCAGTAATAAATGGAGGTAAGAACAAGGAATGTGTACTTTTTACTTTTTAATTCATTCAACAAATACATTTCATCGGTCGTTTCTGTTCTGTTGCCTACTAGCCTTATCAGCGGGATTTCGCTAAGATGACGCCATATTGTTTTGGTTATAAAAGGGGCGGGGCTTAAGTGCGATGGGAGGAGCTTAACACAATTGATCATGATTCTATCGCAGATTAGAACATGGTCCGTATCCAATCAAAACACGCGTTGCAAACGAATCGTGTTAGAATATAAGATAAGTGAACCCAACATATGTAAAATAGATGTTATAAATCACGACAAAGATGATTTGTGACTCACTGGGATTTATGTGACAGCACTGTTAATTTATGAAACGTTTGGTTTAAGAAGTAAAATGTTGGATACAACGGAAAACGCTTTCGTTCTCATCAATAGATCAATTTGGATTGGATCTCCGTACAGAAGCATGTCAAGAGTGTAATTTTCAGGTACATTTATAAAGAATTCATTTTTTATATTTGTATAATTAGGACGAGACAGAAGAAAATGTTCAGTAGTTTTATGTGCCTGTCTACATGAGCAATAAGGACTATCGACAAGATTACGACTAAACAGGTGGGCATTTAATGAGCTGTAGTTCATCCACCGTGTAGCGTGATGAACCAGGTCGTAATAATGATAAGGGGGGACTGTAAGGGAGTGTCTGTGTAGGTAGTTTTTCGTGTTACTTATTGAGGGCTTATTTTTAATATCTTGGGATAGTTAATTCCACAGGTCAATAAAATAAAGAAGAAAAGAATGTCTTGAAGACATTAGTTATGCAAAATACATTGCTTAAATTATCAGCAACACGTGTGTTATATTGGTGAGCATCGATTCTGAGTTGAGGGAGTAAATGTGAAAGGTACGGGAGAGTAAGGCCAAAAATTGTTTTATGTATCTGAACTATTTTCTTTGCATAGTTTTGTTTCAGCCTACTAACTCTTACGTCCGTTGTTGACCTCACAACCATTCTTTATTGACGGGCAAGTAAATACTGATTTATTGCCACCAATATCTATCTTTTAGAGATTTGTCTTGCTTTGAGTTGTGATGCTTATTATGTACGATGTCTAACTTTTTGTTTAAATAACAAACGGTTATTAAAAGCTATCAACGAAAACCGTTGATTTAAAATACAAACAGTCAACGGGATGATGTAGCGGTTTCCGAAAGGGTCACATGATTCCAACTTCATTTAGTTGTTCAATAAATTTGATCCATGTAACCAGAAAAATAGGTCATGTAACCACTTCATACCGGACAAATATAATTTTAAACATTTTTGAGGTTTGACCAATTAGGCATCTGTGACCTTAAATATGAGACAAGGTAACTTCTATAACGAACCTTTGTAGCATTTCATGAGAGACAGTAACAGGCCAAACATCATGACTTCAGATTTTTTAGTTCCTCGGAAGATAGTGATTTGCAAAAAAATCAAACGTTCAATAGGAAAAAAGCCGCGCTACGACAAAGGCTCATTTTGCCCTTCGAGCATGGGGCAATAAAAATACTGAATGAACATTTGGTTATCTGCCTTTGCAAATATTGTGATAAAAAAAGACCTCGAGTTTTGCTACGGTCAGATTGATAGCTATTGGGAGCATTTTGAATCTGAATTACAACAATCAAGGGCAGTGTTTCATGTTTTGGCCCGAATGGAACTTGTGTTGAGGTATAGATGTACATGTACTTCCTCGCCACCCGCGGACAACTTCAGACCACATATCACACACACTTTCACAAACAAACTTCCAATGTCCCGTTCCACGTGGATGTCATCACGTCCTTACCGGTCAACTGGGTTTCTAAGAATGGCCAACAATTTCACATCCGGCAGGATGTGACGTATGAAATGAGCGTTGAGTAATCCAGGTTCCTTGTCATTTTTATTTTTAGGATTCCACCACCACCATGCGTGATACCACATAGTACCCCCGCTACCTTCACCTGTAAATAGATGTGTGTCATTAGTTACATAATGCCTGATTGTGTTTTTCTCATGATGCATTTCCTTTCATCATTATCTGGTCTCAAAGGCGTTTCTCATTTTGTGGATTCGAACGTAGGCACAGACACCGCCTGTACTACACGACCTTTTTTTTCTCTTCCAACATCTTTATTTGGGTTTTTTCACATGTTATTTTACAAAAGACAGTACAAAACACAATTTGCATACACTATTGCTCTCGTACTATGGATATTTAAGGAGAACTTGCGAATTCCCATCCGAGATGCGCATTACACATACCTGTGTATTTGTGACCGCAACGGTCTGAATTATTCGAAATTGGTTAATACACATCTCGGGCGGCGATCGAATTAGGAACAAGTTATAGGTGCATATGTGGATAAATATACAATACTTGGTGAATAAGCTATGGTATCAATAAGTTAGAAAAGAGTCTCCATTTTTGGAGAAAGGTATTTTGATTCCCTTTACATGTTGCGATATATTTTTCCACTTTATAATGGTACACTATATCTCTCTTTACACTTTCTATAAAAAAGTGTATCACCGTTCATACGTTGTTTGTAAATGTAATATTTAACAATTAGCATAGGTTCTGCATATAATATGTTTTACCTATTTTCCCAAATATGTAAACTTGAGTTTTTTGAGGCCATAAGGCAACTCATACCAGACAACACATGCTGCGCCTCAACCTCAGCAGCCTCATGGTCACCCTCATACTTGATGTCCTCCTCAGAGGGCAAGCCTCCTGAGGACCGTCATCAGACGACTCGGAAAGACCAGCGTCTATATCCGAGCAACCAGGTGAAAGATGAACAACATCATCGTCCTCTGCAATACCCGCGCCCTCAACGTCCATAGCATCCACACCATCCAGACCAAAATCATCGGGCGGAGGAAATGGGCCAGCCAGAGGGGCCAACTCGAGAGAAGGCTCCCCGTACCGGCGTTTAGGTGCAGTGCGCCTAACGACCGTGGCTGTAGGTTTAGGCTTATTAGCCAAAACCCTACCCTTGGACCCAGCGACCAACGACCCTGCCCGAGAGGCAGAAGTCCTAAAGGTCCGACACACCTTCTTAGGACCGGCCGATAAGGCCCCCGAAGTAGCAGAATGTTGGGGGGGGGGGGGGGGTTCAACAGAACGGAAAAGCCATGGGGTTAAACCCATATCCCGGAGGATAAGGGAACGGTCCCGCGGGCTGGGAGTGACCCCAGAACTGGCCAAACTGGCCTACCTGAGACTGGGGCTGGTCAACTTGCCCAAAGAGCGAAGGTGGACAGCCCCTCCCTCCAGGTGGAAACCCGGACATGTACGGGCTAAGCCCGTAATTGCCGGGATGCTGCCGCAACCCAAAACCATCCGCATGCTGGTAAGGGCGGCCCATAGATGGTTGCCCGCAGGCACCCGTATATCCTAAGCCAGGGGAAAACGGAGGCCGGAAACCGGCCCCCTGTCCAGCAAGCCTAACACCTGGGGGGGGGGGGAAACCCCCAGGTTCCCGGAAGAATAAAACTCAGAACCGGACCTAATAGGACCGTGTCCGGGTAACTGACCGGGAGGGTACGCCTGACCAGCATTGGTGCCGGGATTAGTGAGCTGCGCGTCACTAATCCCGGTAGACACAGACAATCCCGAAAGAAAGTCTGTAGTCACACCAGGACGTGAAACCGAAAGAACAGGCCCGGCACCAAGACTGTCCCGACCGACAGCACCACCTGGAATGCCGGGATCACTGACAGAGTCAGTGACCGGCGGCCGGTAGTCCCTACCCTAAAGCAAGCGCGAAAGCTTACGGGCGTTCCCGGCCAATTCGACCCTGGGCTGTGCCAAACCAGGGTCGGGCTGCCCCTCCCCTACTCCAGGGAGTTCCTGGACAGGAAGGGCCACCCCCTGCTCACGAGAGGGACTCGCCGAAGCAAACAAAACCAGGACAGGAACAGATACAGTACCACCAGACCCCAGAGAGCTGGTGGAACGACCCCTACCACTCTGCTTCCCTCGCTTACCGGAAGAAACAGACGAATCTCTCTTACGGTAAGTTGAAGGTAGCTTTGGAACAATGAAGTCCTTGTCCTGATATCTACAAAGTTATCAAAGTGGACAAAGTTCACAAGGCGAAACCTCCCTGCAAGGACGACACCTGGGACAAGCATCATGAGGGTCCCGTTCCACGAAGAAATTGGAACACCCATGAGCTCTACCTCGTCGCTGTCCCGACCGAGACATACCCTCGAAAGCGAAAGTAAACAAAAAATTACAAGCAGATAAATACGGGAAAAAAAAAAAAAAATACGATAGTACAAAGTACTCAACGTAAAAAGAATTGCACCCGTAATATCAATCAGAAAACGGTTAAAATAAATAACGTTTGCCGAAACAAACAACCGTCACTGACATAAACAGAGGTCGGAAATTAACCCACAATAATGGCGGACCGCGTGGCACACCACCGGCACACGTGGAGTAAAATAACCGGCCGTAAAAGGCACAAAAATAATTTTCAACAATAATTAATTGTATTTACAAGGGCAGATGGGTATAAGGTACACAAACTGCGCAATAAATTGAGTTGTCACTCGAACCAAACCGACAAAACAAAGTTTTGAAATGGAGCTAGCTCCGGGCGTCAGTAGGCAGCAGGCGCCATAAAAGGAAGAGGAAGGGATATCACTCTGTGGCTCTGTTGTCGAGATATGGGTTACGTCACGGTAATTTTTTTGGTAGGGATATTTGAAATTTTTGTTTTTGGGCAACAAAGATGGGTGTAGGTATTGTATATGCATACTAAAGTTATGGTAATTATTACTGAAATGAAAAGATTTTTTTGTGAATATTCTGTTTTCAAGAAGTAGCCAAAGCCTCTCGACATGTTCACATTAAAAAACTATGTGTAGTAAAGTCTCTACGGATTGTTTGCAGAATGTACAAAGTGGGTTATTTTTTATTTTAATTTTTGTAAGAAAACTGTTAGTTGCAAGTATCCTATGTATAATTCTATATTGAAACCACTGCAGAGTCACATCTGTTGTTATTTTGAAAACTATATTTTGTAATTTTATTAATTCAGTGTTGTCGTCACCATCGAACACATTAGACAATTTATCAATATATTTATTAGTGCATTTAATTTTGGAAATAAAAGTATCATACATGTCTCTGCTTCCTTTTCTGCAATTACTTATTAATTCTATGGTGATTGGAATAAATGGTTGTTGCAATCCGACCGAGGCATTGTTTAAAGTACATGTCAGCCATAAAGGCATAAATGAGCTTCTCAAGCCATAGAACACGGTATGAGGTGGGCGGAAGTCATAGACTCGACAATATTAGTCTTGATAAGAATAAAGACGGTTATTTTCTATATGAACCATATCGAATAAAAATTGAATTCCTTTATCACACCATCTTTGATACTACACTTAACAAAATGTTATATTTACCTTTGCATGGCATTGTCACTAGATATACATATGTACTACAAACCGCTTGGAGGCATACAATCTCCACCTTTCACGATGTCGATTAGTTTGCCCGCCACCGTGACTCCACGTTCAGTCCCCACCAGCACTCCACGGTGGAACGTGACTCCGCACTACACTGCTACTCCACCGTTGGAAAGCAGGGAGGGAACGTAGAGGTAGTCTATAGTCATAAAACAACACAAAGTATCCACGCTTAAAACTCCAGCACATACTCATAACGCTGAGGGATCGTACATTTAAGCTGTTGGATTATTGACTTTCAATAGGATTGACGTAGAAAAACTTAACGGTAGACGGGGCACCTATCACTTTTTGCGCGTCAATTTACCCTATACAACCCAATGTAAGTGTCGGTTTACTTTATACAAATATCAATTCAATTTCCACAATGCAAGTATCAAAACATTCCCTCCTCACCTTCCCCCTTTGCAATCAGACAGTTTACGACTTAATATTTTGAATTGCTTACGTAAAGCTTACAGTTACACATCATTATACAGTTGTTGTAAAATCGTTATTTTGAATATATCAACGTATACATGTTAAAGTATCTGTTTTCTACTCTGATACTTATTTCGTAAGTAGATCAACTCGACTGTCTCTGTGAAATATTTCATTATGTGACGTGCGGTGCCATGAGAATGCTACAGTGAATTACTTTTATTGTCTTGATACTGTCTTATATGACGATAAAACAAATGAATGGATATCATACTAAAACGATGATCACATAGTGCCACATTTAAAGACGTCTATAGGAATATCGTGATATTGTCCTATCAACGCTGTTTTATCATCCAATATGTACTGTGCTGCGAAACAAATGTTATCCATGAAAACTTGGATATGTTTTCTACCATCTTTGCAAATTATCCTGGCAGTGTCATTTTATTTCATATCAATATAATTATTTTTCAAGAATCTACAGTTTCACGAAAGTCCGTTACGTAAGGAGTAATTTTAGAAATGATCCGGTCAAACCACTGATTGTACTATGCCTAATTGTAATGAAACTCAAATGTAAATCTAGATTGCGAATATGTACTTGTACCCGAGTAACGTTAAGTTTTACAACTTATGGCAATTACAATAAAGAGGACAAAGACACTCTCAGTAACACAAGGAAACACTCGCACACATCATTATCATCAAATACACTCACACTAACTCGCACACAACATCATCATCATCATCAAATACACTCACACTAACACGCACACATCATCATCATCATCATCAAATAAACTCACACTAACTCGCACACATCATTATCATCAAATCCACTCACACTAACTCGCACACATCATTATCATCAAATCCACTCACACTAACTCGCACACATCATTATCATCAAATACGCTCACACAAACTCGCACACATCATTATCATCAATTACACTCAAACAAACTCGCACACATCATTATGATCAAATACACTCACACAAACTCGCACACATCATCATCATCATCATCAAATACACTCACACTAACTC